TATTTGTATTATTTACTACTTATTTTTTAATATCATAATTGTTTTTAAAAAAACTTTTTCAATTAAAAGAGTTCATCTTTGAAAAAAAAATTTTAATTATTAATAATATTAATAAATATGATTAATAGGAACTTGTTTGTATTTTCAAAATTAATATAATTTGTGCTAACCAATAATTTTCAATAAAATTTATATTACTTCAAATTTAAAATAAAAATAACATAAGCAAAATTCTTTAGAAAAATTAGAAAAATAAATAATAATAAAAATAAAAAATAGTAAATAAAAAGGTTTTCAAGATTTAAGTTTTTGTTTATCTTTTTTTTATTGTATAAGATTTTTTTATACCACTATTGCTTCAAGAAAAAAAGTTTTAATATTATATTATTGATTTTTTTCCATTTAAAACTTTCTTATTATAAGTAGAAAAAATGTTTTTTGATTTTTTGTGATTACTGGATGTCAAGTTTTTATGTAAAAAGAATCTAGATAAAAAGGAGTGAAGATGACTTTTGAAAATATTTATTAAGTTATATTAAAAAAATATTAAGACTTTGTTAGCATAGAAGTATAAAGCTTTTTGTGAATATTTTTTTTGTGTATTGTTAGTGTTAATAATTCATTTGTATAATAGTATAGGAATAAATTAATAAAGAAAATTTTTTTGCAGACATAATTAATAAAAATAAAGATTTTGAGAACAATAATAAATATCTTAAAATATTCACAATATTAAGCTCAGAAAGCTAATTTTCTTTAGTTTAGCAGAAATTTTAAGTCAAGCCGAAGAATATGTAGTTATAAAATCTTTGTTTAAAGTTCCGAATATGCAATACATATTATTGATATATATTTTTTAAATAATACATGCAAAAATCTTTATACAACAATTAAAAAACGAGTATGTAAAATAGCTAGTGTACGACAAACATTAAATTTGGAATACCATATTTATTGTACTCTTTTATTTTCTAACAATATTTGAAATAATTCATTATACTCGTTGACATTAATTAATAAGTAATGGATTTCGAAATGACGAAGAGATTTACACCAGGCTGGGTTATAATGAGTTGAAAATACGTATATATTTCAGTTCTAACTTATTTAATAATCAAAGGAAGTAGGTATAAGTCGATGTATTTGTTTGTTATTAATTTGTTTGCTTTAATTTTTTTTTTTTTTTTTTACTAAACTATCTCTTTGCCTCAATAATCGTCATAGTGCGTATCGATGAAATTATTACCAACAGAGATTTTTTCATTTTCTCTTTTATTGTAGACGGTAAGATAAATTAATTTATTGTCATGTCATGTCATTCAATATGAAATGCGAATTTATCATTTTCTTTTTCATAATTTAGACTGTAATAAATCGATTATTCCGTTATTTATCTTTTGAATTTATTATTTATATTAATTCGAATATTTATCAACCCGCAGGGAGTAAGTTCAGTTAAATTCGTTTATTGCGCACATGCATATTTGGGATGTTTTTTGTCATTTAATGTATTTAACTACAGACAGTAAGTCGAGGCGGATTTTTCATATAGATTGATTCCTTTGACAATGTTTAAATCATATATATCATATATATCGCAATCTAGTTTGTAAGATTTTATAATTATTTTCGTGTGATTTCTTGTGAGACGCTTTAACCATACCATGCAATTATTAATTTTAGATGGTAAGCCAAATTGTGTATATTTCTTTTAAACGACTCACGAAAATTATATATGCGTATTATTTCTTTTGGTCATTTCGAATTAACAGGGAGTAAGATGGGTTGTGCACATTTTTGCTTTTTATCTTACACTTCACAAAACGGAGTTTTAACCAAGCGCATCTTCTCGGAAATCTAGTGGGTAAGTGGATTCAAAGAGTGTCGTCATTTTCGTGTAATTTTTAGAAAATGTTACTAATTCGGCGTATTTTTGTTCACGTAAGACGGTGGGTTAATATAAGCACGTCTCATTGCTCACCATACATGAATTCTTTAACCACATCCTTATTCTTTATTACAGATTGCACGTATTTTTATTTTGGTCACGTGTTATTACTTAGATGGTGAATTTACCGCAATACGTAATGGTTATTTTGTGTTAATAACAGGGCGTAAGTAAAGCTGGCATATTTCTTTCAAGAATTACATAGTATTTCGCGAAAATTCCTTAATCACGTACACGCTGTTGCAGATTGTAAGTTTGATCCATCATATTTTCACAATTCATTGTGAAATTCCTTTCCTTCATCATAATCATCTTTTTTTTATTTACCGTTTGCGCATTCACATTCTCGATTGCAGATAGTATGTATACTTTATGTTTTCTTTTTTTTTTTTTTTGTAACATTGATAAGATATATTAATTAATACTGTATCATTACTCGCAAGATGGTACGCAAAGTTGGATATAATGTGTGTTCTTGTTTATCATGAGAATGACCTATATATTTTATTGTTCAACTCAGATGGTAGGTTTAATACATGTGTTTTTTTTTTTGTTTTTTTTCGTTGTTACTACATTAAGTATTCTTGTTTTTAATTATAGATTGTAAGCCGAATCAATATACAGCATTTACTAATTACTCTGTACTTACGAAAAGAGGATTAATTACAATTTATTCGTTTTTGTGATCATTTAGTAGGTAGGCTAGACGAATTGTATTACAATATCGTATCCGTCATTCTTTGTATAATCCCATACGAATGCCCTTATTATTTAGTGGGTAAGTGGATCTGGGCGAGAATCGGTTTGACTGTCTTCATCTAACATGGTTTCAGATACGTATAACAAATAAATGAATAAGTAATGTTTATTTTACTACGTCCATGATTAATTTATACGTACCCGTCCACAAGTTAATAGGTAGGTCTGATTAATATTGGCTGTATATTCTCATTTCTCAAGGTGACGATTTTAAATTCAAAGAAAAGGTAAGTTTCGTATTTATTTATTCACTAAAAAAAAAAAAAAAAAAAAACACCTGTATTTGATGGCATAATTTTATGTAAGAATTTGCTTTTGTAGCAGATGGTGAGTTAAGATCGTGCATACTTCAACGGTTTATGTAAAAAAATTTTTAGCCAAATTCTTGTTCTTGATAATCTAGCAGGTGCGTGTAATTGAGTCCAATTCTTGCGAAACATTTCAATAAGATTTTTGATATTTGTTACAGCTGGTACGTTTGACCCCACCGCATGTCTTTATTGTGTGCGGTAGAATATTGTATTGGTCTTTATAAATCTGTTGTGGAAATCAACTTGTAATTATTCTAATTTGTCGATAGGAAAAGCTTGTAGTCATTATGGAAGGAAAACCATGTCTCTTTACTGGTGCCGGATTTGTAACTTGTCTTACTTTCAAAGAAAAAATTTCGATAGCCATAAATGCGGAGATGATGACATCGACAAGTTTATCAAAGAAGTGCAACTGACAGCCACCAATAGATTTGAAATGCTAGAGTTTATTCCTTATTCAAAATTTAGGGATGTTTTGCTTATCGACAAAGGTGGTTTCGGAAAAGTTTATTCGGCCGAATGGACTGGCGGTAGTATTGTTTGCTTGAGTGAGAAGGACTACCGATGGAAAAGAACTGGAACCACCAAGGTCGCACTCAAATGCCTCAATGACTCGCGAAATATCCAGGAATTTCTAAATGAGGTGAAGGTCGTCATTCTCCGCTTAACCCTCTTGATCACATCATTGATCGTCGTGAATTAAATTTAGATTAAAAATCTCTATTACTGTAACGAGAATTTTTCGCACATAACTCGATGCTACGGAATAACAAAACATGAAGAAACAAATCGGCTTATGATTGTGATGCAGCTTATCGAAGATGGTAACCTCAGGAATCATTTACCTTTGTTTCAAAAGATGGCATTGAAAGATGTATTCAAGAGTCTCGCCCGAATTGCCGAAGGTTTGCAACAGATGCACGCAGCCAAATTAGTCCATAGGGACTTTCACCCCGGAAATATCCTTCTATCCAGTAAATAGAAATAATACTATTTATATAACAGATTTGGGTTTATGCAAATTAGTCAATGAGCTTACGGATAAAAGTAAGGGGGTATATGGTGTTCTCCCATATGTGGCACCAGAAGTCTCATGCGGTGAAGAATATACAGAGGCAGCAGACATTTATGCATTTGGAGTTGTTATGTCTGAGGTCGTATCTGGAATTCCTCCTTTCAATAATGTTCCACATGACGAAAACCTTGCGATTCAAATTTGTGGTGGGCGCCGACCTCGAAATAAAAATCAAAATAATATGCCCACTTTAATGATTGATCTGATAGAAGAGTGTTGGAATGCTGAACCATCAAAACGACCAAGTGCGCTCGAACTATGTATTATTTTAAAAGTTTGGAGTAGGTACACAGATTACCCAAACTCCAAACTTGCCAAACAAATTGTAAAGTATGAGAAGTTGATACAACGCACCGAAACTAGCATTTGTGAAGATGAGATGCACCCTTCGGCGATATACACAAGTCGGCTTCTTAGCATTAATTATCAAGGTAGAGCTATTATAAAGAACGTATGACGTGATCATTAATGAATTTTTACAAATTACCAGATTCCAGACTCGCATATTTGAAATGTGTGTAAAATATATGTGTTGTTTTTCCAGAGACTTGAACCTAAGGATATTCCTTCGTCCACAAGAATATCTTTTAGTCATATCTTACTTATCCTTAAGAAACCACACCATGATCTTCTATAGGATAATATTGTAGAACATCAAAATTGAAGAAATAATCAAACCTGTGTGGATCTTTGGCAAGGTGTATAGTATAGGCAGTCCGTTTGAAATCATTGTTTTAACGAATTTAAACACTTTTGTATTTCCCCTTAAATTTCCTCGCTACTCTGGTTTAAACCACGATCAATCGAGATTCAAATTTCTCTTCTTTATTACAAATATTTTTTCACATTTTAGTTTGGAATTTTTACATGACGAGTCATTATAAAACAATAACGGATTGATGAATTTTCAAGCTGTCAATTTCACGTGAATTGTGATACTCAAAACTTATTGTTAACCGTGATTGTACTTTTTCATTACTCTATCCCTCCACGACCTACTTCCCGACGTCTTCTTAGTACCTTTTTTATCGTTCAAGAGATCAAGTTCACTCTTTGCTCCAGGTTCTGTGACCGTGTTTTTGCGAACATCTTTGTTTGCTGCCCAGAATTTATCTGGAGGAGTCGAGTTTTTCCTCAATGAATTCTCGATGAAACCCGAATTATTGGTCAGATTTGATGCGCTCTCGTCATTTACGCCATCTTTCTTATCTTGCTCATTGATGTTATTAGCAATTTTCGCTGCATCCTTTGTCACATTATTCTTCAGTAAAATCTCCACGTCTTCGATCAACTTCATTGCATTGAACGGCGAATTATGCGTTATGGCATTTTCTTCATTGACATTGTCAATGTTGCTGGTTTCGCTGGATTTTTGCGAAATACTACTTTCCATATTCTCGCCTCTCTTTTCTTGTTTTGATTCATCCAAATATTTTTGTAATGCTATTTTGAATTCTTTGATTTTTGTACACAGAATATTTCTAGTATATTTATTATCCATGCCCAATTCTTTTAAATCTTCATACGTCAACAAACACAAGTCTTGCCAACTCATTTCATAAAAGTAAGGGCATAGTTTTCCAAGGCCGTCGTTCAATGAGTGAAGGAAACATTCCATATCTGGTAGATTGGAAAACAATGCGCTTAGGAATTTTAAGAAATCAAATGGCCAATGCCGTGGATCGCAAGTTTGTGCATTATAGAACAAATATAATAAAAATTACCGCGTAAAACTTTTGGATCAATATGCCCATACCAATTTTCCTCCTCATCGTTTTCATTTTTAATATTTTTAATATTGGAGAAATCAACTACTGGTAGATTCACACCTCTCTCCCTTGCCTAAAATTGGATATATAAGATTAAATATGAGATTAAGAAATTCCCATCGTCCTCTTGTTCATTATGCTAAAGTTATTTGGCATTTAGTTATTGCTAGACACTCTCGAAATTGATATATACTTACTAGAAATTTCCTGATTATAAAAAAATGCCTAAGTAATCTCTTTCTCAATTGCCAATTGGTAATGCCCAAAATCTCAAGATCATTCCACGTCAACTCTATTATATCATGCCAATCCTGATTTGCGAAATAGGGAGCCAGAGGTTTAAGACCTAGTCCATCGAGCCACGACGGGAAGTCTAAACAAAGATCATGAACACACAAATATGCATTACTTAATAAATAAAACAACATGGACGCGAGAAAAAATTACCTTGTAACAATAGGAAATTTATTTGATTATAATTTTTTTCATAAAAATCATTATAGCTTTCCAGCACATTCTGAATCTCAACCTTACTCAATTTTGGAGTTAATTTTAATGTTTTCAAGTGCGAATAACCACTATCACCGCTATTACTAGGTTCCCAATCGATATCATCGGTAATTTCGTCGTCAGATGACTTCATAATTGTTATATTTTCGTGTGACGAGGTGACTGAAATTTAGAAGGGTTGAGGTATTTATTTATATCTACTGGTGCACATGGTTCTCGCTCCTCAAGAAGACAAACTTTTGTTTCTCACCAGAATTTGTTTCTGGATTCGACGGACTCTTATTTGTCTCAATTTTTTCGCCCTCTGATCGTATCACGGTTTCTTTGTTATTTAGATTTTTACCTGATACACATTTGCACATCTTTAAACATGTTAGCAATATTTTTGATACGTTTAAATATACACTCGTAGTGTCATACCTTCTAGATTGCTAAGGTCTTTCGTAGAGACATTGTTTTTCTTAGATTTCGACGTCACATTTTTTGCGCGTTTGGAATCGACATTCTTATTGCTCGCACTAGTATTCCCACTTTTGGAAGAAAACGTTTTACTCATACTTCCAAAGCTTTTTCTACTTTTTATTGTGCTCGAGTAAAAGCTTTTTGTATTTAGCATAACGGACTTTGGGTATATTAAAAGAGGTGAGCAACATTGGTAAGAAAAATTCCGTTGAACGTTTTTAAAGTTAGAACCGAAGGTAAAGCCTATCGCCCTAAGCTTCGATCTTTTAACTATTGTGTTTAATCGAATTAACGATGTCATTATTTTTTCGATCGAGATTATCGAGAAAAACTGTACTGTGTATTTTTATGTACTGTAGATCCGCATTTGTCAATTTAAATCTCTTTAATCTCGATAATACAATAAAAAAATTGTTTTTTGAATTTTTTTTTTTGCAACATCCGTAGTACAATTCATTCAAGTAGCATGATATATAGTAAATTTGATTTAATCCATACATCATAGTCAACAGGTTGTTACTGCCATATATTCTACCAAGTTAGTTATTGGTATACAAAAAAATTAAAAAGTTAATTAATTGAAAAAAGATAAAGTAAAATATCTAAAAATATACAATTTTGCAAAAAAGAAGAATAAATTAAAAGAAAAGAATCTTATCTAATTTTTTTAAAATATTTCTTTTTCAAGATCTCTTGTTAATAAGAAATATTCTATTGAAATATTCATTTTTCTCATGTTTGGACAAAAAACTTATTTATCACAGTTTAATATTTTATCTATATTATTTATTGTATATTTTTATCTATAAAAATCTTTATACTATATTGAACTAAAAAACTTATTGTCTTAAAATCCAATTGAAATAAAATAAAACCCGTTGTTAAAACTTAATTTTAATCACAATTATAAAAATTAAAAAAATCTTAATTTAAATAATCACAATTTTTTATTAATTGAAAACTTATTATTCAAATCTTATTGACTTTTTAAACTTGAAATATAAAATAATACAATTGAAAAATAAAATAAAAATAGAATACTAATAAATGTTTTTTTTATCTATAATATTATCTAAATATATACTATAACCAATAAGAGATTATTTATAATTTTCTAACATATTTAATATTAATGAATTATCTTTAACAAGATTCATAATATTTATAAATGTAAAATCAAACAGAAGTAAATAAAATTCTTTGAAAAATTCAAAATAATAAATAAAAATGCTTTCAAGATTTAAATCTTATTTTTTATTATATAAAATTTCTATATAATACTTTTATTTCAAGAAAAAAAATTTCTATGCTATGTATAAATAAAAAATATATAAGTTTTTTGATTTTTATTAATTATAAAAATAATTTTTTTATATATAATATATATATTATATATCATATAAAAAAAAAAACTCTTTCCTCTGATTCCCAAATTTTCAGAAAATTTTCTTTTTGATAAATTTTTGAGAAAAAGAGAAACCAGTCTAAAAAACAAGAAAAACCACCTTTACAACTAAACAACTTACAAAAACAAGTTCAAGAACTCTTTATAGAGTACAGAAGAGGTAAGTTTTACAAAAATTATTAACTTCTACTATATAAATTTTTTCTTTTAGAAAAAGAAAAACAACAAAAAAAACTGAATCACTATAAACTCTTGGAAGCCCAACATCAATTTCACAAAGCTCCTAACCAGCCAGTGCAAGTTAACACCTTTCTAGATATCAAGAGAAGCATTACAAGCAATAATTCAAATCAATAAATCAGTTCAAATCCAAATACTCATAAAACTTAGAGGGATGTCCAAGCTTCATTGACTATACATAAAGAAGTATATATATCACAATAACTGCATTTCAATAATATTACATCATGCAAATACAGACATGTACATTTTTCACAACAAGCTCAAAGGTGTGTCAAATAAATAACATTAATACACTTTCTACGTGTTTTGCAAATCAATTATCAACAACCTCTTAACCCCATGTATTTACATAAATTAATTATTAACAACCCTATAATCCTATATATTTATTATTGACTGATTAACAATAAAAACAATACTATCACAACATATACGTGAAACAAATATTACCTACACATCACAACAAATAACAAGATTTTTTTCATATTACCAAAATAATAATAAGGAATAAGCAAATCTGCAACACATTTTTAAGAAAGCATAGCAATGATTATCAGCAAAATACAATAATACCAAACATAATCAACTTACTTCCTATCACATGATCAATATGTTTATAAGGAAACACAAGCTTTTATAGGTCACTAAGAAAAGAGAAGCACACATTATAAAGATCTTAGCTCAATTATTAGACAAATATGATCAACAATGGAAACTATGGGCAACACAAACCCTTCTTAATATTACTTTAACTCAAGAAGTTACCATAAACCCCACCTCAGATCCAAACTAATACTCGATTATAGACAGTATCATTGCTAAAATCCTGAATATCGATCATATCACCTTTATTAAAACCAATATTCTTAGACAACACATCCTTTATCTATGAATCAAAGAATAAGAAAAAAAAGAAGATCTTCTAGCTCCATTTTTAGAGAATAAATATCTGAATATAATAGAACAAGCTGAACAAGTATAATACTCTTCACAAAAATATTATATCAAGTCAGACAACATCCGAAAACAATCTTCCTATACACAACTCACCAGATAAAACAATCGCTATAGAAGTTCAAACAACCACAACAGTTGAAATCCCAAATATTATTGAAATTGAAATGGGAGATAAGGAGCTTGAAGATATAATTAAAATGGAAGTTATTAGTGAGAAGATTAAAGGGAACAATATAGCTGAGCAACATACATATAAGACAAGAAATAGACCAAAGACATCTAGTATCAATTTCTTTTATATCAAGGCAGATGGTGAATATAAAATATGTGTATTTACTTCTAGGCTCCTAAAAGAAACTGAAATAGAACAAATAGAATATTTGCAAAATACATTAGACTTGCCAAAAGATTTCAGCCCTTCAAAAAAATTTTTATCAATAGTAATGTATTGACAATATTCTGTTGCGAAAAGGAGAAAGATGCTTTTTAATGTCTTGAAAATATTAACAAAAAAGAGGAAAAAAACTTTACAATTATACCTATAGATATAGAGAAATGGTCAAACTCTATTCAACCACCAAATAA